TGTGATAGGACAAGGGGTAATGGTTGTAAAAGAGAGGGAGGTAGATTCAGGTTGGATATTAGGAAAAAATTTTTTACCATGAGAGTTGTAGAACACTGGAACAGGTTGCCCAGAGAGGTGGTGGATGCTCCATCCCTGGAGACGTTCAAGGCCCGGTTGGATGAGGCCCTGAGCAACCTGATCTAGTTGGAGATATCCCTGTTCCTTGCAGGGGGGTTGGACTAGATGACCTTTGAAGGTCCCTTCCAGCCCTAACGATTCTATGATTCTATGATTCTATGATTCTGGGCATACTAATAGACAAAATGGAAATGGTAGTACAATTTTTTCACCTAACATTTTACATCAACTTCTTCACTACGAAATGTCTGAAGAAATCATAAATATCATAAAAGAGACATGTTAGGAATAATTTGAAAAATTACTAGTCAGAAAGCATAATGCATACTTTTTTTCAGTTTATCTACTTGAGACAACAGTGGCATCCAGTGGTCAAACATTAATGTGTTTATGTTTCATGTTGTTCATATGTAATTACTATATCACGTTTTTCTATTTTTCTATTTCTGTGTTTAATTTGCATACAAATGAAACAATTCTGTCCTGTTATGTAGTCATAAAATTTATGACCAAAACTTATAGCTTTGCATACATAGATCTGTTTGGTCAACAAGCAATAACCTAGTAACAATTAGTTTCCTGTCCCATTTTCATCTTCTCAATTTATTGCTGATGGTAACTTCTTTCTGATAATTTTTTAAATTCAAAGGGATAAAATCTGAAGAGATCATTTAAAAAGTAATGAGTATTTAGAACAAATACTTTGCTGAAATGGTGGAGATCAAAGATTCAAGTGGGACAAAGCCATGTTACTGTCAAACACTTTCAACTGCTGCCTATGAAAATCTGACTGGCATTACCCCATGCTCCACGTAGAGGAGCGTCATGTAATTGTAAAGAATTTCATCTCCTAGGCTCCAACTTGCAGAGTGTCAAAACTCAAAAATTTGAACAAGATTCTTTTAGAAGAGGTTTATACGCACGGACATGAAACACATCAAGCACTCTGAAAGGATCAAGTTCATTTGACTCTAAATGATCCCATGCCCTATGTTCAAGTTTTATGCAGTACAGGTTAAAATCTGACCCTAATGTCTACAAAAAAGTTACAATTTCCCACTGCAAATCCTTTCTAGTTCAATGTCTAATGAAGGGAGAAAGTAATTTTCAACGACTTTGTATATTTATTTATTTATTGTTTAAAGGAAATACCTTAGTCTGCTTCACACTTCTCTTAGGTCAAACAAAATCTAGTTTATGAAATCTCACCGAGTTCCCACCAGACACCTCTTCCTCTGCTAATTTAGAACCAAATCACCACTAAATAGATTCTCTGATCTGGTCAGACTACTGTTCCAGTCAACTGCTCACTTGTCTTTCCTTCTAATTCCTGCAGTCTGTGACTTCTGTTGTTCTGATATCAATGCTGATTTTTCTTCTTGGGAATTTAGGAAGACTATTGTTACTTTTGCCTTGCTTTGGAGTCTCATTGGAGCCAGTCTGACTGGCAGCACACAGCAACAATTCCTCCATCTGAAATTGACAAGGCTTGTACTACAACCACAGGTGGACCAGCTGTCTGACCTCCTCAATAGCGCTGGCTGGCTTTGCTGGCATAGAGCAGCTGTATCCACAAAATGCCTCAGTAAGTGCTGCTGGCCACATGGCCATCAACTGATAGCCATGGCTTATTGGAATCACTAGTCCAGGCTGCTGGGGTTGTGCTGGGGCTGCAACAGCTGATAGCAAGTAATGAGTAAGTTGGGACTACAGCGATTTCAGAAAATTGGGTTACAAAACTTCTTCATGGCCTATGCATATCAACAGGAACATGACACAGAATCTCTTTGAGACCTCAGAGAAAGGATACATGGATAGATGGACTCAGTCTAAGCCACTACAGGTGTTTTTCGTAGAATATATGTCTGGGATAGATACTAGAAGTCATCTAATTTCTAGATGCTCACCCTAACAAATTTAATTAGTTAGACATTATTTGCCCATGTTTCAAATAAATAAATAAATAAATAAATAAATAAATACAAAATTTCATACTTCTTCAGAGCTGGCACACATATGAAGTGCTACTATTATGCAAGAGCAGTGGAGACAGGCTTGACTATATTGTGTTAAACACATATGATCTAAGCTAAGGACTCACAGTGCGATACTAAGACAAAAGAACTAAAACTCACAGAAATCCAGTAAGTTAAAAGATTCTGTTTTGATACCATCATTACGAAAGAGAAGATCTGTGAAGTCAGTAGTCTAAGAGCTGCTTTTTGAATGACGAGTGCCTGAGGAGGAATCTGAAAAGCCTTGTGCTTTACAGGACAAGATTCAAATGGAATAACCTGCAACACCCATCTTTATACAAAACACAGACATCCTCCAGAGATACATCTTCTATTTCATAATACATTAAAAATCAGAGTTCTGGTCGGCCAAATAAGCGTTTTGCTTCTTCATATCACCCAGGACTACTATTTCAGAATTGATCCAGTCCAGATCAAAAACTTTACATGACACGTTTGTAAATACAGGTTTTCAATGAAGGAACACCATGTTTGTTGGTTTTTATTAAGTAATTAATTTTTCTTCAAAACCAGCATACATTTTGATGAACCAGTACACATTTTCAAGTTGCTAAGCCACTATCCACCATATTAGAGAAGTCGTGGCAGTCCAGTGAAGTTCCCATCGACTGGAAAAGGGGAAAGATAGCCTCCATTTTTAAAAAGGGAAAAAAAAAAAACCACAACAGGGAACTATAGGTCAGTCAGTCTCACCTCTGTGTCTGGCAAGATCATGGAGCAGATGCTCCTGAAAACTATGCTAAGGCACATGGGAAAAAGGAGGTGATTGGTGACAGCCAACATGGCTTCACTAAGGGCAAATCAAGCCTGACAAATTTGGTGGCCTACTACAACAGGGTAACAACTCTGGTAGATAAGGGAAAAGCAACTGATGTCATCCACCCGGACTTGTGCAAAGCATTTGACACTGTCCCATTTGACATCCTTGTCTCTAACATGGAGAGACATGGATATGATGGATACACCACTCAGTGGATAAGGAATTGGCTGGATGGTCACACTTCAAGAGTTGCAGTCAACAGCTCAATATCCAAGTGGAGACCAGTGATGAGTTCATTCTTCAGGAGTCTGGTGCTGTTTAACATCTTTGTCAGCAACATGATGGATCGAGTGCACTCTCAGCAAGTTTGCGGACAACATCAAGCTGTGTGGTGTGGTCAACATGCTGGACAGAAGGGACACCATCCAGAGGGACCTTGACAGGCTGGAAAAGTGGGCCTGGACAAACTTCATGAAGTTCAACAAGGTCAAGTGCAAGGTCCTGCACATGGGTCAAGGCAATCCCAAGCACAAGTACAGGCTGGGCAGAGAATGGATTGAGAGCAGCCCTGAGGAAAAGAACTTGGGAGTGCTGGTGGATGAGAAGCTCAACATGAGCCGGCAATGTGCGCTGGCAGCCCAGAAAGCCAACCGTATCCTAGGCTGCATCAAAAGAAGCGTGGCCAGCAGGTCGAGGGAGGTGATTCTGGCCCTTTACTCTGTTCTCACAGGACCTCACCTGCAGTACTGCATTCAGCTTTGGGATCCCCAGCACAAGAAGGACATGGAGCTGCTGGAGCAGGTCAAGAGGAGGGCCACAAAGATGATTCGAGGGCTGGAGCACCTCTTCTATGAAGACAGGCTGAGACAGTTGGGGTTGTTCAGCCTGGAGAAGAGAAGGCTCCGCGGAGACCTAAAGGGGGCCTACAGGAAAGCTGCAGATGGACTTTTTGCAAGGGCGTGTAGTAATAGAACAAGGGGCAATGGATTTAAACTGAAAGAAGGGAGATTTAGATTAGGTGTCAGGAAGAAATTCTTCACTCTAAGGGTGGTGAAGCACCGGAATAGGTTGCCCAGAGAAGTTGTGGATGTCAGGCTGGATGAGGCTTTGAACAACCTGATCTAGTGGAAGGTGCTTCTGCCTATGGCATGGGGTTTGGAACTAGATGATCTTTATGGTCCCTTCCATCCCAAACCTTTCTATGATTTTATGATTCAGCTTTAGGAGGGAGGGAGAATAGAAGGTAGGTCTTCAACCGATTTTTAATAATCTTAGCTCTGCTGCCTTCATTTGATCCTTTATGATTTACAAGGATAAAGTATAACATAAAGGTGGTGAGAAAATGGACAACCTTCCATATTTTTCAAGGAAAGACAAGGGCTGGCATAAAAGTTATTTTCAGAGATAAGTGTATACACCTTTCTTTATCCCCTCCAAATTTTATTCAACCCTCCAAAAATACTGTTTGTTTATATTTGTAAGCAAATTTTTAGATCACTAATTGTGCATGGATTATATACTTCAGCATGCATTTTCTCACCTCTTCAGCTTCATGTGCTATTAACTGTTCCATTAGCATTTTTTGTCGTCTCTTTTCTCGTTGTTCTCTAGCAAACATATCTTCCTCTAAACGTTTTTGAATTTTCCTTATATATTCATCATCTGAATAAACATTTAACAGCTCAGTTGCTGTCTGTGTTGTAGTTTCTAGAGTTGTTTCTTGCAACTTCTGTGTTTGCAATGATTCTTGTGTATCACTGATTGAAAAGATTAAAAGGAAAAAGATCACTGACTTTATAGGAATTACGGTTCTTAGAGGTATTTTCATACAGATTCATGTATAGTTATGTGCATGTCTGACAAATGCACAAAAGCACTTTTTGTGGGCACTGTGGCTACTTCCTGATGTTCTTGTGCCCCAGAATGACCACTAAGTCCAGAGGAGGGCTCCAGCACTAAGCTGAGTCAACTATCAATTAGTTTGTTTGCTAATATGAAGCCAATTCTGCAGAAACAGGAAATTAGGGTGGCTCACAGAATATCAAAGAAAGATGGGTCACTCTTCAATATATCCACACACTCTAAGTGCAGTTTTGCAGAGTTATTAATGACAGGTTGTTTACACATGGAATTATTCACAGCAGTATGCATGAGTGCCACCTGATCAGAATATGGTGTACATATGACTAAAGATGACAGAATGACTGTTACTTAAAATTATTCACGAATAAATCAACATAAAGATAAGCCTAAAGAGAAAGGTCACTTCTTTTTATTTTCTTTGAAATGTGTTACCGTGTATGTCCATCTACAACCATTCTTGTTTCTCTGCAAGTCTAACTGACCTTACAGACTCAATGACTGAAGAGAACAGAGAACAAGAGACCCACTTTGTGTCCTTTGTTACTGCATATATGGCAAAAAGGAGAGAAGGAAGCTTGAGCCATCTGTATTACCACTAAAGGTAAAGTAAAAAACACTGTAACGGTGCTGGAGCTGGAATATTTGCAGTGCTAGTGGGACAATCACTCAAAGGACAATCACAGCTTAAACCAAACAAGCCGTTACATTTTCCTCAAGTAGTTTCTACATAGATAGCAGGCACCTGAGGTAGGATCCTAGCTCATCTTAACAATCTAATATCCAAATATTACCTGTCAGTGATCTGGCTGTGTACTGCAGAGGCATTTCCTGCCATATACTTCTCAAACTTTTCAATCTCCTTGTATGTATCCTGAAGAAATAACACAAAATTTAATGTTTCTCTTCACAAAGTATCCTAAGGAAGGTTTAACAGACCAAGTATTTAGGGAATTATTTTTATGTCATCCTAGTAGAACAGAAATGTTTACACTGAAAATATTTTAAGCATCAGCTAGACCAAAAAAAAAGGGCAAGACTATTTCATTCTTCTACCCCTCATTTCCTTCCCCCATCCCCTTTTCCTAGCTATACCTATGTCCACCAGTCAGAAATTCCTAACATTTTGCAGCTATTCATTCCAATTTTTCATAGAACTCTAGTAGCTTATTAATTGCGACCATTCAAGGATTTAAAACATGATATTCTAGGCTACAGTCCGGTTTAGATTTAGTAGCTTGAATTTAGCCCTGATAGTTACTCATTTAAATGCATCTGTCACAGTTATGCAGTTGTAAAAACTGGTAATATTTGCACTCCTGATGACAATACAATCCACGAACTGTAAGATTACAACCCAAGTACTCTTCAGCAGTCAATAATACAGATTTTTTTTTGTTATTTCTGCATTGCCATCATGTTTTGATCTGATCTAAGACTATTGTAAATTTCACCTGTTACTAACATTTTGATAGAGCAGACAGTTTTATAGTGTGTTACGAAAGAGTTTGTACATTATGGTGCAAAACTTCATCATGCGCAAATAAGAAGGAAACATTAATGCTCTTATTTCACATATTTTATTCAGTAAACTAAAACTTAAATACTGTCAGCAATTAAATTAGTACCTACCTATGGTATTTAGTCAACAGGAACTTTCTCTTACATCAAAACAAACATACAAGGTAACAAATGCAGAAACATAATCACACCAATATTTAGCCCAATTTTCACTGGTTGAGTCTACTATATAATTATAACAGTTACACAGGCAGCTTTTCAATGGTGCAAGTACAGTATTTGTAAGTGCAAATGCTCCCAGAAATCATATATTTTGCAAGTTCATATAATTAACAGTATAAGAATATAGATTATAGTTACCTTTGCTTCTCTTTTCATCTCTAACAATTTTTTGGCTTCGATAGCTTTTATAGTGTGGCTTGGTGGCGGCTTTGGAATCTGTATGATGGCTGCTTGAATCCTGGCCATTATTTCATTTTGTCTCCTTCTTCCTATGTAATGCTGAATATTCAATATCTTGTGTTCAGATACTTGAGTTGAAACAAAATACACAATATGGCCCTAATACACTACCTATATATCTATGAAATAAATGTAATTAAGTCATTAAGAAAAAAATCTTCTAGGAATAATGTAGAACAGCTTATCAGGCTCCAGGCTTGAGTAAATGACATTTCTTTCTTTTTTTTTTTTTTGTTTTGGGTGGACCATTAAAATGCCATGAAGGCAAAAAATTCTTTATCTTTTGTCCACAGTTAAACTTTGTCTTAATATTCTCACCCACTGTACTCATAAATCACCATTTTAATATCAAGAACTAGATGTTGTAAAATGCATTTTAAATTAAAGTAAATTAAATTAAAGTATCATTCTATATTCTGAATAATTTGACAGCTTAGTGATATGCTAATATATGTTCTTCATATTTGAGGATGAAGACATATTTTTAAAGTACCATTATCTAAAAATGGTACATCTATATATGCTACGTCTGCATTAACACATAGTGCAGTGGAATAAAGGCACAACTGCAAAGAAAAGCACTTTGTGCTCAGGTGCTCAGTGCCTAACAGGCATGTAGGTGCTTGTACAAAATTTTAGCACTCGTATGGTACCTGTTTCAGGTCAGAATCCAGCACAGAAATTTAGAATATCACTTTCCTGTTACAGACACTGAGAATACCATTAGGTAATATCACTGCTGAACAATGAGTCTCAGATGGTCAATGGTTCAATGTCCACGTGGAGGCCTGTGACGAGTGGTGTTCCTCAGGGGTCGGTACTGGGGCCAGTGCTATTTAACATCTTTGTTGGCAACATGGACAGTGGGATTGAGTGCACCCTCAGCAAGTCTGCAGATGACACCAAGCTGTGTGGTGTTGTGGACACGCTGGAGGGAAGGGATGCCATCCAGAGGGACCTTGACAGGCTGGAGAGATGGGCCTGTGAGAACCTAATGCAGTTCAACAAGGTCAAGTGCAAGGTCCTGCACATGGGTCGGGGCAATTCCCAAGTACAGGCTGGGCAGAGAATGGATTGAGAGGAGCCCTGAGGAAAAGGACTTGGGAGTGCTGGTGGAGAAGAAGTTCAACATGAGCCAGCAATGTGCACTGGCAGCCCAGAAAGCCAACCGTATCCTGGGATGTATCAAAAGGAGTGTGGCCAGCAGGTCGAGGGAAGTGATTCTGCCCCTCTACTCAGCTCTCGTGAGACCCCACCTGGAATACTGCCTTCAGCTCTGGAGTCCCCAACACAAGAAGGACATGGAGCTACTGCAAGGAGTCAAGAGGAGGGTCACGAAGATGACCCGAGGGCTGGAGCACCTCTGCTATGAAGACAGGCTGAGAGAGTTGGGGCTGTTCAGCCTGGAGAAGAGAAGGCTCTGGGGTGATCTTATAGCAGCTTTCCAGTACCTAAAGGGGGCCTACAGGAAAGCTGGAAAGGGACTTTTTACAAGGGCGTGTAGTGATAGGACAAGGGGTAATGGATTTAAACTGAAAGAGGGCAGATTTAGGTTAGATATAAGAAAGAAATTCTTTACATTGAGGGTAGTGAGGTACTGGAACAGGTTGCCCAGAGAAGTTGTGGATGCCCCATCCCTGGAGGTGTTCAAGGCCAGGTTGGATGAGGCTTTGGGCAACCTGGTGTAGTGGAGGATTTCCCTGCCCATGGCAGGGGTGTTGGAACTAGATGATCTTTGAGGTCCCTTCCAACCCTAACCGTTCTATGATTCTATGATTCTATGACCAACCATTCTATGATTCTATGATTCTATGACCACGAAGTAACAAACATTTAAATTACACTATTCAAAAGTGCACTACAGATACATGCAGTTAAAGGTAGAATTGAGTGGAAAAAAAGGTTTTTTACAAAAAATCAAAGATAGTTAAAAAGTAACTAAGTAATATACCAAGATACTAATAAATTCTCTTTTAGAATTCTATTTTGAATATTGCTTGTATTTTTTTTTCCTAGATACATGAAGGGACTTCTTTTTTTTCATTCTTGTTCATGCAGTGGTAATAGAACAGCTAAATAATAACAGCAAGGCTCTCTCCCTTTAATTAGCCACAGAAAATGCATCTCAAATTAGTGAAATTCATTTTACATTTTCATGTGGTTCAACATCCCGTGGATAGTGGGCCAGTTCCTCTATATAAACTACAGGCTGTACGTCGGATGAGTGTTCCTATATCTTAAGAAATTACTTCCTCTTTTTTACTTTATCAGAACAGCTACACAGAGCTACAAGATGTTCTGAGGCCATACTCACTATAGGTCCTCTTCCCTAGATCTTTTTCCTGCTTTTGACCAACACTTCAACTTCTCTTCACAAATGAAGAATGTCACAAACTTCTTTTACAAGGACATCTTACACACAGTTGTGAAATTCACACTTTGTCTTCAAATCTAAAGATATTTTCCATGCATGACAATATGCACATACTCTCAGTTTAACATTAAGTGATTTTTAAATATTAATGCTTTAAGGGTCTTATAACAGTATTCTACGTATTGATTGCCATGCATACTCCTTTTCTTTGTTTTTGTATAAACACAACTGTGTGGCACAGAATTAACAAGCATTCACACTGCCTTTAACTAACTAATTATCTACATGATCTTCAGCAAACACTTCTTTGGAAGTCTATAAAAAGTTAGTCACCTTTTCAACGTCTTGGGCTCTTTGTTCCTTTTGGAGCTTCTGAACTTTCTGCTGTTCTGCAATACGTATGCGAGCTATTTTATCTTCTGTTGCCTTAGATTTTACTTCAGAATGCTCTGAAATCTGCTGTAGTTGCAAATCAGCCTGACGTGGTGTTGAAGTTTTCAAATGCTAAAATTAAACATCAAGCAATGAAGAGTCAGAAACTGTAAGAAACATACTTAAATATGTTAATTTTGTAAAAGTCATTTCAAACTGTGTTTTCCTGTGTTAATGTATGCAGAACAAAATCTAAACATGGTCAAATATTTTTCAGAAAAACAGGACTAGTTCCATTGAAAAGAACATGCAGATTTGAAATTCAACAATGCCAAACTTTGTTCAGTTTGGAGAAAAAGTGGCTGAGGAGTGATCGCATGGCTCTCTACAGCTTCCTCAGGAGAAGGCATGGGGAGGGAGGTGTTGAGCTCTTCTCACTGGTTTTCAGTGACAGGACACGTGGGAATGGTTCAAAGCTGTGCCAGGGGAGGTTTAGACCGGACATTAGGAAGCATTTCTTTACTGAGAATGGGGTCAAACACTGGAACAGGCTTCCTAGAGAGGTGGTCGATGCCCCAAGCCTGTCAGTGTTTAAGTGGCATTTGGACAACGCCCTTAATACCACGCTTTATCTTCTGGTCACTCCTGAATTGGTCAGGCAGTTGGACTAGATGATCGTTGCAAGTTCCTTCCAACTCAAACTATTCTATTCTATTCTATTCTATTCTATTCAAACTGAAATACAGAAAATTTAACATAAACATAAGAAAAAAAAAGTTACTAAATGGGTGATAATTTGCCCATACATGCTGTGAAGTCTCCATCTTTGGAGATACTCAAAACCCAACTGAACAAGGTCCTGAGCAACCTGCTCTAGTGGACTTCACTTAGAGCAGGGGGGTGTGGATTAAGTGACCTGCAGAGGGCCCTTCCAACCTCAACTATTCCATAACTCAAATGCCATTATGAACCTATCTATTGACACGAGCTACTCTCAGTTGCTTTATCTTCTTTAAGCTATCCCTGTATAGGTGAAGGGATATTTCGATTGTTTGGTACTATCCTTGCACTCGTTGGTAAAGTTTCTGCTTTTAGACTATTTTTCAGGAAGCATGCCAGAAAAAAAAGAAAGTGAAATCTCACCTAGCTGAATTTGATTCATGATATATAGCACCTTAAACATTGCTCATCCTGGTAACAAATTATGGTCTGCGCATGCTCAACAGTACTGTTGAAGACAAGAAGAATGTCCTTAACAGAATCTACTACATGATACTGACTTCTTTTTAGATACTGTCTTTCCCCTTTGTTTTTTTCCTCTGCGTATTACTCAGCATATGGTTACCGCAAGCTGGAGTGTAGTATAAATATATGGAGAGATGTGCAACAAAAGGAGCCAAACCACTGTGGCACAAAGCTCAACACAGTCATAAATAGGTTTCCTGGAGGGGAAATGAGTCTAAGTTGACATCTAGACTGCAATACAGTTTGCAGTCTGTACTGATCAAATGAGTAAAATGGCAGTTGCTGAACAGCTACTAGCCCTTGTTGCTATACGTATTTAAAGTCTGGAGAAAGCTTAAAAACAGAGCAGGTAACACAGTAGGAGCCAAAACAAACGAGCACAAACCACAGGTGATTGATGCTCTCATGAGTTACAGATAAATGATGTAATCCCACTGTCCATGTACAAGATATAGAAAAGTACCGCTTCTTTTCCATGCAAGTATTGGGTTTTGAATAAGAGATTTTAAAAGTGGGGAGGGGAAGGATGCAACATGCTTGAGAGGTACATGTATATATGATAACTTTTTTCCTATCTATTTATACAAAATAGGCATAGTAAGTTACCTCTTGATTCAAAACACTTTCAATAGACTTAAGCTTTGCAGTTGCTGCAGGTCTCATTGCTTCCTTGGCTACTCTAGTGAGTTTTGCCTTTCTCTTCTTTTCTAAAGCAATATACAATTCATATAAAAGCTTTGTTGCAGCCCCATGCTGTCCTGTCATGATGTCTTGGGCCACGTTCTCATTAAACTGTACACCAAGGAGGTGAAGCGTGGGCTCCAGTCGAGAAAAATTGTTAAGTTTCGCATTTGCAACCCTATATGATTAAAAACAACAACAAAAATCAGAACATAAACTTATTTTCAATTTCAACTTGCTGCAGTAAGCATGGTCATGACATTTATCTCATACCAAGAT